ACACAATTATTGATTACTAATTAGAAAACTAATTGTTTAGTTAATTAATTAATTAATTAATTAATTAAGAGATTAATTAATTAATTAAGTACCTGTAGGCACGGCACACCATCTCCCTGCACTCTGGCACCGCCATCACGTGAGCATCTCTCTCGACCTTCAGCGCAAGGTCGTCCGCTGCGATAAGCGCGAAGCGAACCCGCCGCAGCAGTGGCGCCGCCTGTGGCATGCGCGCCTGCCTGTTGTGGTCGAGCCACCGCACGGCGGCGCTGTAGACGTCCGTCTCGCTGCCGACGTTCAGCTCGTCGTCCGCCAGGAGGCGCGTCACTCGCTCGTACGTCGCGTCGAGGAACGCCGCGCTCATGGCGACCTCTGCGAAGCGCTCCCTCACGAACGCGCGCATCGCATCGCGAAGGTCCTCGAAGTCGTGCTTCTCGGCAACGCTGAGGTGTGGCAGCACCGTCGCGACGTCGTACGTCGCCAGCAGGTTCTTGCAGGCGGCGACGACGCGGTGCACGTGCAGCTGCAACGCGCAGCTAACAACGGCGCCGACGTTTGCTGACGTGACGTCGACGTTTGATGTGTAGAGGAAGTTGATGACGTGAGCAAGACCGTCCGGCGACGACGTCGGGTCTAGTTCCACCTCGACGACGGCCGGCGTTTCCGGCCGCGAGAGGGCGTGGTGAAACTGTCGGCTGTGAGCGGCCAGCACAACCTAGCGGCAAGAATCAAAATTAGACATTATCATCATCATCATCATCGTCATCATTATCATTATCATCATCAACAGCTGCTTCAGCAGCAGCATAACAACAAAAACAACAACAACAACAACAACAACAACAACAACAACAGCAACAACACAATCTGTCTATGTATTTGATTAAGGACACATCGCCTCACAGTGGCTGATATAAATGTTATTAGTGTTCATTAAATGTCATATATGTCATTAATGTCATTAAATGACATAAATGTCATTAAATGTCATATGTTCCATCAGCTACCATTACTAAAGAGATGCACCAGAGTTTAGTTTTTATGCCAGACTACTGCAAGGAATATTTGTTCTCTATCTTAAACGTATAGTTTCAGCATGATATGATTTTATTTGGCAGATATTGGCCATGTGCGAACACAGGTCTCCCGTTATATTACAGTGAAAATTAACATTACTAGACATCTATTAATGATTAAACTGTGACTGTAGTGAGTACGAGCTCTCTCTACATTACAACGTTTTATTT